GAAGAAGAAGAGAGAGAGAGAGAGAGAGAGAGAAAGGGATAAAATAATAAATAAAACCCACCACTATCATAATACCCAACCTCCACATCCCCCCATACCAATCCTCCCCGGCGGGTACCAAACGCCTTGAAAGCCGCCTCCTTGGCCGCCCACCTGACACCCAACCACTTCACCATGCCCAGCCCCGTCATCGTCGTCGTCGTCGTTGAGGTGGACTTGAGGAATTGTCGGTACTCGCTCTTCGTCAGTATCCGCCGCGCGAAGCGGTGCGCGTAACTGGGACGTTTCGTCAATAGACGGGTTAAGCGTGGGAGGTGGAGGAGGTCTACTCCTATGCCTTTGGTTTGGAGCATTGCCTTCTTTTTTTTTTTTTGTAGTTTTGGGGGCGGTTGGTTGGTTGGTTGGCTGGTCCTTTGGTTGGTGGGGTGCGGGATGAATTAAACTTTGTGTTATTTTTTTGAGGTCGAGAGGTATCATACTTGTATATACTCATAAAGTGCAAGTAGTGTCTTGGCGGTGATTGCGGGTTCCTGAAAAGTTAAAGTCGAGCACCGGTAGTCTACTCGAGTACTGGTGTGCTATGATACAACCCCAATCACCCCAATCACCCCGTCCCCCGCATCCCCCCTCCCAATCTATCCACAACCCGTGCGTCGCTAGCCCTAGCCATGATTCACGAGTGATAGCTCATGAATATCTCTACTCTCCGGTAGCCAGATAATAATATCATATCTCGCACACGTAGGTACTGGTACTTGTAGTAGTAGTGGTGGATCCTGTGGCGCTAGCGGATAAAGTCTTCTGCTGGGCCGTAGCGTCGCCACCCGCGGAAAGGCGGACAGACGGTGAAAGGTTGGGTGTTTGATAGATCGACGGGGATGAAGTGTTGGGCGGTGGCTTCCGGATAACACTGCGTATGGTGCGGGGGAAGGGATGGAAAGGCTTATTTTTTTTTGATACCGATTTTGAAAAGGGACTGATGGAGGTAGATGGGGGAGCCGTGTAGGAAAAGTGAGAATATATTTCTATCATCGTAAAGTAAAACAAATATCCCCGTCTCTTTTTATATTTTATGCCAAAATTTAATCAGACCTTGGTGGTTCTTTTTTAGAGTTTTTTTTTTTCCGGAGGGGAGGAGGAGAATTGGGTGAGGTGAGAGGTGAGTGGTGGAGTGAGAATGGGCGATAAGAAGATAGGGAGAGATGATAAGCCAAAAAAGAAAACCCGAAAAAAAAAGGCTACAACCCATTAATCCCCTTTATCCAATTCTGTTCCAGTGTTCACTAGACTACTTGATAGGGGGCGAGGGCACCACCGCCTCCCTTGGAGGAGATATCGCATGTACGATAACCCGAATGAGAAATGCTGACTCATTCGCGCTACTCGTCACCCCGCCGGCTGGTCTATTCCGCGCTGTGGTTCCTCGCTCCTTCCATCAAAAGTTACAATTCCCCTCCCGCACAAGAAAAAAAGACAATGCCAAGCAAATAAGCAAGAAAACAAACCAACAAAAAAAAACTCTTACAATCCTCCGAAGGGAAGGGAAGAGGATGGGGGGGATAACATCAATTCTCCGACTCCGTCTTTTCCTGCACCGCCTCCTTAGCCTCCTCCTTCCTGTTCCCGAGATAGGCGGCCAATGACCCCATAATCTCCGAACTGACCACCAACCCGGTTGTTACCGTCGCCTTCGCCTTGGGGATGACACCATCAGTGCCCCCACCCTTACTGCACTCATCCTCATAAACCTTAAACACGTACTCCTTCCCCTCCTTAGCAAAGTCGGCACCGCGCAGGTAAACCTCGCCTACAAGCTTCTTCGGATAGCCTACAGCCCCGGCGACAGCGCTCTTGATCTCGTCCGTCGGTTCCTTGAGGATGGGAAAGTAGCTGTCGATCTTGCCGAGGTTTGAGTCCGCAAATTCATCGGCACGGGAAACGTAGGGGGCAGCACGGGAGAGGTAGGGCGTTACCGGGGCCAGGAAGGTGCTGTAGCAGGACTGCGAGAGGGAGATGCTACGCTGGCCCAGGGGGTGGTTTTCAAAGACGCTGATGGAGTCGTTGACTATTGGGTAGGATTTTAGGTGCGAGAGGGACTTGTAAGAGGGCGAGGGCGGGTCGGATTGGGTGGAGGTGGTTCCATTGACCTTTGAGGTGCCGTTTGGCTGCTCAGCGTGGGGCATTGTGCTGTTTGCTCACTTGTCAGTTGCTTGTGCCGTGGCTGGGGGTGGGAGGGGGAGGAGAGCTTACGATAAGGTACAAAGGTGAAGCTCGAGAGCAGTGTACTCTGATCAAATCACAGGGAGAGTGTGGAGTTAATGGTGTAGGGCGGTGCAGTGGTGCGGTATGTTGAGGGATGATGGAAAAACGTGCAGTAAGGGAGAATGGATGAAAGGAGGGGAGGGGGAGGAAGGGGAGAAGGAGGAAGAAAGAGTGTGGGGGCGTCGTGCCTGTATTTGTATCCCAAGGACATGGCGAGGATGAGGAAGCAAGGACGTGTGGTGCTTGTCCCGATTGGAATCAGCAGCGAATCCGCCTATCCACCCATCCACCCCATCCCGCATCAGGAGGAGAAAAAAGGAAGGAAGGGGAAAAGAAAAGGACGGTTACCTTACTGACACGTGAAAGAGATGGTTGCCCTCGCCCACCTTCCACCCCTCCTCCCCTCCCCCTCCCTTTTTCGCCGGTCGAGTATGAGTATTGTACGGTCACCGTAATATAGACGAGTGTGCGGTGGATGGGAACGTTTCTTATCGGAGATCCTTGCCGGCCAAGGCCATTCCTACACATGCGCAGCCAGGGAGCCAAGTGCGGTACCCGTGCCCTATCATAGCCAGTACCGTACTTGCACTTCTTCCACTCGTACAAAGTACGGTCATGTAAATTTACTCCTGGGAAAGATAAGCCCTCGTGCATGTCCTTGTGGACCACCGCGAGCGTTGGTTTTGGGTAGATTATAGGCATCATATCTTTCATACCGCTAGCATATCTATACTCAGGACTGCCGGTATGGTACTTGCACCCCTTATCGTATCACATCATAGCAATGCCATACCACATCATCCATCGAGCTAATCTCTATGCGAACCTGCATTTTCCAACCTCTTCCCTCCTCCTCTTCCTCCCTTCCTTCATGCCTGCTACCGGTCTCCGGTCTCCGGTATCATCATACCGGCATTCAAACGCATGCCTTGTCCTGCCACCGGGGAAGAAAGTAGTCTACGAGTAATTTGGACTCGTAGGGAGGGGGGAAAGAAAAGTATGATAACATTCTCGACCAAGTCGCTTGTCATATTTTGGGCTAATGCATGTGAAAATTCACAAGCGATCGACCCACCCTCGCTAACGCCGACACCGCTAACGGTACGTTCCAGTTCCACCGTGGCGTGAGCCGCACGCATGGCACCCAACCCAGCAGCCAGTTCGTGTCTGCCTGTATGATACCGGACGTTACTAAGTTGTATCATACCGGTAAATAGACAACAAAGATCTCTCTGAAGGCGCTGTGCGACTTCCTTTCTGGATGAAGGGGGTTGGGCGGTGGGCTGCGGCTCTGGTACTACGGTAGGTACTCGAGTACTCGTAGGTGTGATTGATAATTTAGGTTGGGGAGGACGGACGACGGGAGGGGGAAGGGAAAAAAGCACATGTCAGGTTTTCAGTCCCATGGTTGGCGGACGGGCACCTGGTTAGCCCACGCTAACCAGGTACTCGAGTAATCTCCCGATATTGCCTTATCATCGTTACCGTGCTGTCTGAGCATTGTACCTGTGTAGAGTTGCCCCTCCGCGCCTTGCGCTGTTATGGTGAATGTTTCGTTTCCTTTTGCTGAGTTTTTTCTTCATTTTCTTTTTCCCCCTCTTCACGTGCTCGGGGGAACAGTAACGATGGAGGCCTCCGCATGCGGATTGCGGCATGTATAGCCTTTTCTTCCACCCAGCAGGACTTGTAATACTACCGTTTATATACCGGTACGAGTAATACCAACAGAGAAGAATGACAGGCGTATAAACCCGTCCGCTACACGAGGCGCGGCATTGTGCTCGAGTGACGTAGCGTAGTGTCCGTCACAGGCTGAAAGCGCTGGAAGTGGGTCGAAAGGTATTATCGTGGATCATCATTTGATTGGAAGGTGGGCAATTTCATCGTCGGCGATGCCGTCCGCCCTCGAGCACAGTGCCTTGCTGTGGCAGTGCTCTTACAATACGAGTACTCGAGGACACTACGGTACCTTGCCGGATGAGGGAACGGGGAGTGAAGGGGGGTTGTTTTGAAAATGTCGGTACGCGATGCCGAAACAAGAGAGGTATCATAAAAAAAGAGAAAAGTTTCTCCTCCCTGCGATACTTCCATCCCCTACGAGTACAGTATCGGTATATAGCCAGTAGGCACTCTGGCTAACTTGTGTTCGTGCGAAGAGGCTCCAATCGGCAGGGAAGTTTGTAGGAGGAAGCGCAGATGGTGCTATACTTGTATCTTGCCACTATGATACCGCATCCATCCCGGTATTCCCCGGAAAGCCACCCTCCCGAGATATCACACATAATATCGCTTCATGGACTGTTCCACGTCTATGATAGACAAGCAAAACATTCGAAGCATTCCTAACTTGCGGTCGGGCGGACTCCTTTTGAGGTTAAAAAACCGGACACACCACACGAGGACAGGAGCAAAAAGCAACCAACAAGAGAGGGACTTTTTTTACGGCCTTGTAGAAATTTGGGGGAATCTCACTGGGGGTATGGTGCGTATATTGAAATATCGATACCGTGCCACCACGTTCCAGGCCACAAGTACAGTACCCAAAACAAACAGGCAAGGATTAGGCAAGGAGAGAAAGAAAGATAAAAAGTACGAGCACTGCACCGTACTCTCGACCCGACTTGACCGACGTACCGGTATCACGGTAATGGCCCCCATCCTGCAGGGAGTAAGTAAGTAAGTAGCATGTGCGGTATCATACTTGCACTAGTATTACTCCAGAAACAGCAGGCGAACCAGCACCGCTCCGGCAAACTCATCTCGGGATGAGAAGGGGGGGGGGAGAAAAGGTGCTCCTTGGGATGTTGATACCGGCACCGTGCAATGAAGGGGTAGTATTATGATACGAATACCATATATCAATTGGGAAGACGTGCATGGGCGGTTGCATGTTGGTGCTTGGGAGCGGTGGGTTACAGGTGTGTACAGTATAGTGCAGTATGATACTGGTGTAGCAGAGTTGTTTGGTGCGTGCCTTGATGAGTTTGGGCACGGTACGGTTCGGAATGGTATATATTGAACTCGCTTCCCGTACAAAATTGGTCCCTGGCCCAAGTTAAGCTATCATACATAACCTGCGGCCCATAAAGTACCATACCGTAGTCACTTGACTGCCAATAGGTGTAGCTAACGAAATGGGAAACTTCTGTAAAAGTGTAGTCTACACCGGTACTGTACCGTGTTTGCTCGGACAATCCACTATCTCCATGTGGCTGTCGATCTCCCCAATATAGTATCACAGCGTTCAGCCCAGCAAGGATGGTCAACGACAACCCATGCCTCAATTTTGAGAGTTCGGATATAAAGGCTACCATATACAGTCATATCTCGCTGTCCGGAGTCTCAATAATTCAGAGACCTCACTATCCCGTATGAATCTCTGTAAGCTCTGAATTTCGTTTGACCAAAATGTTACCTGCCAGTGCCATCCCAGATCCCTCACTATACTAGACAAATTCTTTGGATTTTGACTGTCTGGGATTGTGAGGGATGACTATATGGTTAAGACTAGAAAACTGCAATATATTCTAGCTCCTCATTTTTATAGTTCTCAGTTCTAACCTCCACACCATTATCTACTAAAGTTCCTGGCTTTCTCCAATTCCCAATCTCTAACTGTAAAAAGCCTTTGATATTCAATTTATTTATCCTCACCCCTATTGACTAGGAGTGAGAGTCCAACTTTTTCAGAATACGTGACTAATCAACTATTTCTTCTCTTAAGGATATTGATAGCAGCCACTGGCATTACTAATACAGTAGGTGGTTATAACATATTGATCTTGAACTACTATATCCATTTTTTTCAGAGTTCTCTATTGATTCCAACTCAAAGAGTTTCTCATCTGTAAACTTGTATATTACCCCTATCATAGTGTCACGGCCACCCGGCGTGTTGGACGTGGAGGAACATTGGACTTTTGGTTCCATATATCAGCTGTGGTTTCTTTGGTTGCGTTGTGGGATTTCCTTTGTGTTATGATTGGGATAGGTTGCCACGTGACAGAACCTGGCGGAACATGACGGAAAGATCGCGGCTGCGCGCGACGCCAAGGACTTTCTTTTGTATTAGTGATCATGGAGGATTTCCTATCTATATAAGGGGGTGTGCCCCCTTATACTTTATGTTCTTTACGCAATCTGGTAATCTCCTTCGGATACCTGTACCTAGGAATTACACTCTCTACTCCCTGGCGTCCTCTTGAACCCCTGAACCCTGACCCTGAACCCCTGAACCCCGAACCTCGTACAACTCGCTTCGGTTGTACTCCCGCACCTAGACCTCGTCTCCAGATTCCTGCCTATCCTGATCGTGGTGTGCCTTGGGCTACCCGACCCTCAGACCCTGTCCGTTACACAAGATTGCGTCTACCAGGACCCAACCCACACCACACCATGGCCACGTCCCACCTCCCTGATGACATCAACGGTCCCCTTCATACCCTCGCGAATCTGGGGGACGACCACGCACAAAGCCTAGACCATGGTCAACTCCAGGCCCAGTTCAACCTAGCCAGAAACCTGGCTCGTCAGATCCTGAATGCACCTGCCCCTCCTCCTCGTCAAGCCACCCCTGTCCCCCCAGAACAGACCCCCCAGTACCAACAATTGCAACAACAATGTAACCTCCTCCTCCAAGAACGAGACGAAGCCCGTAACGAAGGCCAAGGCCTCGAGGCCCGCCTCGTTATCGTCGAAGCCAGCCTTACACAGGCCAATGCTACCATCACGTCCTTGAACACCGCCCTTGCCCTCATGCCCGCCCCCGGTGCCGCAGCCCCCGCTGGTGGCAGCAAACAAGTGTCAATCCCCGACCCGGAACATTTTGACGGCACCACCGAGAAACTTCGCCCCTTCCTCACCCAGTTGCGGATGAAACTCCAGGGTGACAGCCACCGGTTCACCAGTGAACAACACCGCCTCGGTTACGCCATCGGTCTCCTCCGTGGACGTGCCTTCGTCCAGATCCAACACCTGGTCTTGCCCGATCGTATCAACCTCGAGAACATGAACGCCCTCTACTCCGAGCTGGAGCAAGCCTTTGGTGACCCCAACAGGGTCCAGACAGCCGAACGTACTCTGAGGAGCCTCCAGCAAAAGAACCGTCCCTTCGTGGAATACCTTGCCGACTTCCAACGCCTCGCCCTCGACACCCTCTGGAACGACGCCGCCAAACGTACTTCTCTTTACCAAGGCCTCAGCACAGAGCTGAAAGACGCTCTGGTACACGTCTTCCCCGTCCCTGAGTCCTTCAATGATTACCTCTCCCTCCTCAAGCAGCTAGACAACAATGTCCGTGCCCG